CCTCCCTCCTGCTCCTTTCAACGCACCTTTTTCCCCCGTCGCCCCCTACCCTCGTCTTCTATGTCGCTGTCTTCGTACCCATATATGGCTTCCTCTTTGGTCATGCGCTTTCCTCGCCGGGCCTGAACACATTGGAAAGGTGAGTTCACAGGACATATCAAGCCCAACAACTCCGACAATGAAAGCTGACGACCCTGTACCCCTCTTTGCCATAGGAGTTGGCAGCCTTCTGCTCTATTTTCTGTCCATTTTTCTTTTTCCTCCATCAACTTCACTGCCAGATTGCCTCCCGATGCCTGCCAACCGCCCTTTATACACCGACACTCACCTCCCCCCGCGCATAAAACTCTCCGTCATCCATCCACTGCCCGTCCTCATAGTCTCCTTCTGTGGTAAAACGGATGCGTCCACCCTCATTGTCGTCTTCGGAAGAAGACATCGTCCTCGCCTGAGGTGCAAAAGGGGAAAAATGAATTTTGCTGCTGGCATCTACTACCAGGTTCAGGAGTTTTGTAAAGCGATGCAATAGCTTCTGAGCGATCGTCACAAATCCCCTGAAACCAGTACGTGCATCCCAATGTTGCATGCCGGATCATATTTCAATGCGTCACTCTGTGCCGGTTGTCAACTATTCCCAGCATGCGCATGTAATGAATGGTGCGGTATTGAAACGGAGTGCAAGTGTTGTCGCTGGGAGACCGGTCTTGGCGACGAGAGGTAGGCATGTCCGGCGCTGCTCCAAACTATGACTCAGCCCTCACACTGACTTCTCACGCCCAGGAAAAAGGCGGAAAGGACCAGCACGAGGTGGTAAAGTGCTGCTACAAGGACCTGCGGCGGCAAATTGTTTATTTTTTTCATGCCCGCGGTCTCCTCTCGCGTGCGTGGCTTTTTTACCCTTCTGGCCGCGTTCCAGCTACTCGGGATGCGCGCATTTGTCTTTCGATCCCAAGTGAGCACCAAATTGGTTTCAAGATGTACACGTCACAGATGGATACCACAGGGGAGCACTGCGCGATTTAGCACTGCTTCCGCCCCTTCCTCGTCGTCAGGCTCGGGCTCCACGGGCGCAAAGAGTCAGCCCGAGTCCCCCAGACCCAGCATGGACGAGGCGCAGAAGACGTTCAACAAGGTGTTCCCCGTGAATACTGCAGGAGCCGATTTGCGCCCTGTCGTGCTCTTTGACGGTGTTTGCATGTTTTGCAACCGTGGCATTGACACTCTACTGGCCCTGGATGTGAACAGGAAAATCCGCGTGGCCCCCCTACAAAGCGAACTTGGCCGTGCGCTCATGACGGTGTGCGGCCGTGATCCGGATGACCTTTCATCCATGCTGGTGGTGGAAGCCGATAAAAGCCTTTTCTCTAAATCTGATGCGGCGATTCGGATTGCCGAAGTGGCGGCGCCCCATCCCTTGCTGGGTGGGGCGCTGGAAAGAGCTGCGCGCTTGCTTCTACCACAGGAGATGCGAGACGGGGCGTACGACACAGTAGCTGAGAACCGGTACAGCATATTGGGAAAGCGGGAGGAATGTCGGCTGCCGGATCCAGGGGATGACCGCTTTATCGCCTAAGAGACAGGCGCTGTACAGAAAGACCGATGCCGGGGCCCGTAAAGAGCCGCACAGGGATGGCTTGGAGTGCCTGACGCGAATGCCTTGGCGCGCAGGCATGTCAGTGGGTGGATCGCACGGTCTTCCGAATCGCTGGCAGAGAGATCCCGGCTTCAAATCACGATTTTCACGGTTGCCTACGGCTTGGACCGGAGACTTGGACAAAATGCATCTGCGTGGACGTGCATGGCGTAAAATCGGTGCGTTTGGTGCTCTATTGGCACGCACGCTTCCTTACGAATTTAACAAATTACGAATTCAAGCTGTCGTGCCCGTTATAAAGTGGCAGAAGGGATGGCGAAACCGTACGGACGACGCTTGCACTGCAAGGACGCGCTCCGGCGCCACCCTCAGATGCACCATGGCCACCCTTTTCATCGATGTTGACAGACAAGCAAAGAAAGAAGTCATAGCCATGCCAAAATTTGTTTTTTGTGCATGAGTTAATTCCTGGTTGTGAGGTTGCTCGCTACAAATTGCCTCTTCTAATTTTCGAATGCCACGTCTTCATGTCTTTAAGTCGTCTTAAGTGTGAGTTCATTGCCCGCCCATCCCAATAAACAAATCCTCTTTCCATTTTCGAATGCAACTTCTCTGTCTATGATTCGTATTAGCGTAGATATATAGCCCCCTCCATAATTCATCGGAGCCTCTCTAGACCCAGCCACCCCTTAGCCATTAATCACCGTCCCTCCATTGGGATGCAAGACCTGTCCGTTGAAAAACGATCCATCAGGGCTCGCCAGGAAGACATAAGAGGGGGCCACCTCGCTGGGCTGAGCACTGCGTTCCATGGGCACCTCCTGGCCGAATTTTTCTACTTTCGCCTCCTCAGGGAACGTCGCAGGGATAAGAGGCGTCCAAATCGGTCCAGGCGCCACCCCGTTCACCCTGATGTCCTTATTGGCGAGATTGATGGCAAGGGAACGAGTGAACGAGACGATTGCACCCTTGGCGCTGCTGTAGTCGATCAACTGTGGCATTCCTTTGTAAGCTGTCACGCTAGTTGTGTTGATGATGGAGCTACCAGCCTTTAAATGCGGCAGCGCAGCTTGGGCCATGAAGAAATAGGACAGAATATTTGTGCGGAATGTACACTCGAGCTGCTTTCTCGTAATGTCCAAGAAGTCGTTGCAGATGTGTTGCTCTGCCGCATTGTTAACCAAGCAGCTTAGCTCGCCAAACGTTTTCAAAGTCAGCTCGACAATACTTTTGCAGTGTTCATTATCCCCCACATCTCCTGCAATAAGAATGGCTTGACTACCTTCTTCCTCTACCATGCGTTTTGTTTCTTGGGCATCTTTGTGCTCGTCCAAATAGGCAATAGTTATGCCTTTGGCCCCCTCCCGTGCAAAATGAACTGCGACAGCTCGACCGATCCCACTATCTGCGCCTGTGATAATCGCTACCGTACCAGCCAATTTATTAGCGCCTTCATAATTTGATCGAATCACTTCCGGTTTAGGGTTCATTTCGTGCTCCAAACCAGGTTGACGCTCACCACCGGCCTTGCTTTGCTTTCCAGTGGTGACCGGCGTCGAGGCAAATGTGGCCATGGTTACCAAGTCAATTTTTGTTGTCTGTTACCTAGTTTAGGAGATGTGTTTATCATAAGATTTTAATGTGATCCCCAGTGTGAATCAGATAAGTGGCAGGAAATATAAACCATCGTGTAATAAAGCACGTGGGAAATTTAAGAAGGAGCGGGAAATATCCAGTGATTCAATTTCGGAAACGTATTTATCCTAGGATTCAGATATGATACCCAGTGTGAATCAGAAAAATGGCAGGAAACATGTATAATCGTGTAATAAAGCCCGTGGGAAATAAAAGAAGGAGCGGGGAAAAATCCAGTGGGGAGGTTCAACGGGCACGTACGCCGTTACGCGTGACGTACTACAGTCCGCGACAGGCAGGAGTACAGAGCTTTGAAAACATATTGCTGTGCCATTGATCACAAGGACGTGTCTTTTTCATCTGGAAAAAATATATACTTTTTATGCTTCGCATGAGGCGTGCGCATGCCATGTCTTTATCCCACTCACGAGAGTCGAACTAAAACGAAAATAACTACATACAAAGGTGACTTTCTTCCTTTCCCGCAATCTGGCATGTACCTACGCGACATACTCCAAATTGTTTAAATTTACACGACATCTTCTTCTTCTATGTCCTCAAAAATTTTCCCTGCTACGTACAACGGCCGCAGGCCATTAACAATCACCGCCATTAAACTTAACCCGTCGCTTGCAACTGCTTCCCACAACCGCCCTTCCCCGGAAAATATCACAAGCATCAAAAAGATTTTCAAACCAAGCGCCAGGAACAGATTCTGCACAACAATCCACCGCACAAAATGCGACATACGAATGGCCTGCGGAACCCGCGACAGGTCGTCCGACAACAGCACCACATCGGCGGCTTGGACAGCCAGAGCCATGCCATGCTCTCCCATGGCCAGTCCGACGTCGGCCGCGCGGAGGGAGGGCGCGTCGTTTACACCGTCTCCCAGCATGGCCACGATGCACTGCTTCCCATCTTTTCCCCGTGTGCCCGAGTGATCCCGCTTGTCCGACTTATCCGCTCGTGCTGCCCCCTCCAATTGATCCAAGGTGTTGACATCGTCTATCCGCTGGTAAGGCGCCGTGGTGGCCGAGGCCGATACGGTCACGTAGCTGGAGACAGAGGTACGGCGCAACGACGAGAAGGCTGCCTTCACTGGCGGGGGCTGGCGTTGCCGCTCCTCGATCCAGTGCAGTTTGTCCCTCGGTTTCAGGCGCGCCAGCACCGTCGGGAGAAGGTCAGGGCCCACCTTGGCTTGCAACGCCTTGGCTACCCCCTCCGAGTCACCGGTCAAGAGGGTGCTTTCCACCTGCAACTCGTCTGCCAAGGCCCGAAGCATGGCGGGCGCCTCCGCCCGGACTCGATCCGTCAAACTCAGGGCCATTTCGGGCACGCCGTCCACCAAAACGAACAAGTGGGCTTCGCCCTGGTAGCGCTCTAGGAAGGCTTGTACCTCCGGGTCGTCTAAATCCGCATCGTCCAACAATGCCCGGTTTCCGACCGTGACCAAGAAGCTTTCCTCGTAGTCCTCCAGGACGCATTCGCCCTCCACGCCCACCCCCTCCATGTGGCGGAGTTTGGAGACTTTGGCCAGTTTTTTTTTCGGCACCGGGTTCCCCTCCGGCTTTTGCCCGTCCTCTTTGTTCGAATAAAAGGCTTCCGTGACACACCCCAGGGCATCCAAAACGACCGCCGCCGACAAGCGATGGGCCACGTTGCTCTCCACGCTGGCCGCCAACAGGCGGACTACATCCGGGTCGTGTTTTGCGGTTCGGTGCAGGGTCAAACGCCCGCTCACCATGAACCGTCCTTCGGTCAAGGTACCGGTTTTGTCGCACGCCAGGACTTGGACCGTACTCAAGGTTTCCAAGGCGGTGGCGCTTTTGAACAAGACCCCTGCGCGCGCCGCGGAGGCCGCCAGGGTAGTCAGGAAAGGGAGGGGCGTGGCCATGGCCAAGGCACATGGACAGGCAAGGACCAAGAGCTCCAAGCCACGGTAAAGACCTTGCTGCCGCCCGACTTCCGCCACAGGCTTGCCCCGTAGGACAGCCCAGACCTCCGGTGCCAGGGCCAAGCCGAAGGAAAGGAAGAGGACCAAGGGGGTGTAGACGGCCGCGAATCGGTCCAGCATTTCTTGGGAAGGAGCTTGGCTGGTGGCAATGTCGTGAACCATGTCCTGGATGACCCGGAGGCTGGAATGGGAGGCGGGGGCCGTGCAGGAAATTTCCAGAGCCCCAGCCTGGCAAATGCTTCCTCCCGCGACCCGGGCCCCTGCCTTCTTCTCTACGGGCATGCACTCCCCCGTCAACGCCGACTCGTCCATGGCCGCCTCCCCGTGCACCACCACGCCGTCCACGGGGGCTTGCTCCCCCGCCCGTACCAAGACGAGGTCCCCAACCCGGACCTCCGTCACCGGCACGTCCGTCGTCGGCAAGCCACCTTCGGCCCCGCGGCGCTTTTTCCCTCCCACGTCCTGGCCCTGGTCTTTCCCTTTCTTCCCGGGCTCTCCGCCGTCTTTCTCGGCGGCGAACGACAGGACATGGGCGACTTGCGCGTGCATCAGGCGTCCGCTGGTCGAGTCCAAGAGCGCTGCCACATAATCGAGGGCAGCGCACCTGACCCTGTCCGCCATCAGCACCAGCAACAGCACTCCCAGGGCCTCGGCCAGGTCTCCTAGGCACAGGGCACCGATAACGGCGGAGCTCATCAAGACGTTCACGTCCACACGGAGATGCTGCGCCGCCCGCAATAGGGGTAACGCCAAGGGCGAGAAAGCCACCAGCACACAAGGAATAACCAGGACGTATTGCACGAGGGGTCGCCAATGAAGGTGGGAGCTGAGCATGGCGACCGTCCAACCCACCGCGGCCACGAGGAGGGCAGTCCATGGGCCCGCGTCAGGGTGGACCATGCCACCGCAAGCCCGCAAGCGTCGCTGGCTTCTCCCGCCCCTGTCGTTACCTTCGTCGTCGTCCGCATCCTCATCATGGTGATTGAAGTGGACGTCTTGGAGGGAGGCACCTAAGTGCGCTGCGTTCAGGGTTGCGAGAAGAAGCGTGGCTGAGACGGCCTCGGTATGACGGACGATCGCAATGCGGCCGACTTCTGACACCTTCACGTCCAGCACCCCTTTCAGCGGCTTCAGCAGCTCCTTCACCAGCTTTGTTTCCATGCTACAGCAAAGGTTCGCAATACGGATGCGACTGGTGGTGGTGGTCTTCGTCAATGCCATGAAAAACTCACCTTCCTCTCTGGAGCGAGGCGTAGGAGTGAGCGAGCGTGGAGATGCCACAGGCGTACTGCCATAGCCGGACATTTTTTTGGGCGACAACGACAGCAACTTTGCCGTCTCCTTCTTCTCGTGGGACGACATGGGTTGTCGGATGGCGCGGGTCTTAATGGAGAACGCGACTGGGAAGGAAAATGTTGTGAGATTCATCGCAAACCAAATAGCGGTCGTGGGAGAGGAGGCTGCTGCCGAGGTCGGGTCCCTGCCAATGGGCGCAACAGCCACACCCCTAAAAATCACACACAAAGCAGCACCACCACGCAGTCCACTTCCTCAAGCTGCCCTCACTCATTGACAAATGGTCGGTTGGCTGGTTACCATCGGTTTGTTAGGCGTAAGATGTGTCTTCTTGTTTTTGGGAGCGGAGACTTGTCACAGTGATTCTGCGACAGAAATACGTTCCGATTGTACTACCCATCTTGTCCTCACTCCCACGCTTTTCGCCCGACAATCGACGCATTCTGAGATGCTATACTTCAATGGTTGAAGCTCCTCGTAGAGTGCTCAGTGCTTACATATCATGCTTTTAATCGAGAGGGATGAGACGTGCAAAACGCATCGAGAAGCAGCAGCGAAGAGACCCTTCAGCACCAATAAAGTCGCTGCACCTCATACTTCCCAAAACTTAAGCGGAAATCTAGAGTACGTACTTTCTTCTTGTAATATTGAGGAAAAGATGGAAAGGGCATGGTCATCTGAAGAAAAAAAGGGGGTTTGGGAGGGAGAGAGGCTGACATAGACAAAAGTGCATTTCTCAGAGGAAGAACATCGCTGTGCGCATTACTTAATCTGCCTTGAACATTGCTGTGCGCATCACTTAATCTGCCTGTTCTTCTATGCCGATCTGTTACCCCACACATTTTACCACGTCCATAATATTTATTCCCTTTTCATTCGATGAGGAGCGACGGTCTCGCCCAGGCGCTGGCTAGCCTCCAAGCCCAGCCTCGCTTCCCGTTGACTGCGGCCCATCATCAGGTCAGCACCCCAGACAAAGAGGAAAAACAAAGCACCCATCGGCAAGGTGGCGTCTATGTGTAAAGTGTATTCTGGATTGGAGACTACGTGCCGGTAGAAAGCAAAGATTTCTAAACACGCGCAGAGGAAAGCCGCATAAAACGACCAGGGAAGGACATAGGACCCTCCTGTCAGTGGGAGGGGCGAATGGATGTAATGGGCTATGGCCAGCCCGGATATGACGCCTAAAAACTCAACGCCATGCATCTGTAGGAAACTGGGCCAGGAAGACGACGTGTTTGCATTTGTCGTCGATGTATCTCCCCATTGACGGTACATCCGATACGTCAAGATTGCGGATAAGCCCAGGGAGATGCGCGTGAGGGAGTGCTGCCGGAAAAAAGGGGACGAAAAAATAAGAATCTTACATCAATCTCTCATTCGCAGCGACGAGGATGGTTTCGGGTCACTTACACGCCATTGCACGTTCAGGTGGCTTGTCTCGTTGTAGTGTCTATAGAGCTGCTTCTGCAAGGTTTCTGTATTCTGCCCAAGGCTCCGCTCCGTCCCCCCACCCCCTTCAAAATCTCGACGACCCAGTTGCACCTTCCTCTTCGTCAAACCCACCATTTTAAAGTTCTCGTGAGGGCGCAATGGTGTCGACTCTCGACACACGGTATAGGGATAGGGGGGGGGTTGACCGTTGGCCGTGAGATGGGAGGAGATGGAGCCCCTGCGTTCGATTTCTGTTCACAATACCGCGGTGAGATGTGGCTTAAGTATGCAGTTTTTCAAATTGTGCCGGCCAAAATGTTGCGCACACGGTGGTCAACATTGCAAATGTGTTCAACGTAGTATTTTAGCCTCCCGCTGCGTATGTACGCGTCGCCGCCGCCAGACACGCACCAGAGCAGCGATAGCTGCTCCAAAACAAACGAAGCGAAAAAAAAGAGAACACATGATGTTTTTCTCGATAATCATGTCTTCATTTTCATACCATCAGCTGCACATCATAACAGGGCTGCTTGTAATCTCGTATCGTGCATCCATGTCTTTTTCATTTGGTGGAAGCAGCTCGGGGACAGGGACCAACGACCCAAATGCTGGGGCACCTAAACCAGGTGCATTTAGTTTCTCCCAACCTGGCGTTCCGACCCCTGCCTCTGGATTTAATGTGTCCAATGCAGGGACAGCGCCCGCAACGCCTGGATTTGGAGGGTTTGGCAGCACGGTAAAGACCCCGGATACAAGCAATCGTACGTCTACCGCGTTCGGTTCGACCTCCACGGGCGATGCCAACATCCCCAGCAAACCAGCATCCGCCGGCCTCTTTGGAGGAGGTAGCACGACTTTCAGCTCTCCTACCCCTTCCATCTCCGGTGCCGTTGCGCCTGCTACGGCCCCGGTTGGCGGGATTGTCGCAAACCCTTTCTCTATGGCTCCTGCACCCACACCGTCAAGCGGATTCGGCGCCCTTACAACCCCAAGTCCCTTCGCCACCACCTCGACCCCTGCACCTGCCCCCACCAGCAACGCTGTATTCGGGGGCTCCACGCATGCCACGGGCACACCGGCCTCGAATGCCAACAACTTCGGCGTGGGTGCCTCGACCACCTCGGCGTCCACAGGTGGAGGGTTTCAATTTGGAAACCAAGCTGCCCCGGCACCGGCCCCGAGCACCACCTTCTCAACCCCTGCGTCAAGCACGTCTGGATTCGGCTCAGGCTCCATGTTTGGGACTCGCCATGCAACAGGCGCCCTACCCGCTTTCGGTGCATCAACTGGCACGACCCAGGCGTCCGACCAAGCCCCGCCGTCTGCTGCAGCACCGCGAGCATCAACACCCGCCCCCCCCCCTGCAAGCTCTTCCCTC